GACCCCGTCTTGCCGTAAAGGCATCCCTCGTGAATCGTTCCCCCGAGTGTTTTTTTCTTGGATCCGGCCTCTTCCTTTGAAGAGAGTTGGGGCTCTCTATTAGTCTGCGAGTGAAGTTACGAAGACCTCGCGGTTAGTCCCGGAATGGTTGTAATGATCCGACAGGGCGGTGTCAATGTCCTGTGGTGGGTGCGGACTCCACTCGGTACATCGCCTGACCCTTCCCTTTGGACAATGCTGCTTAACTTAATGCGAGCGACCTTGGTCCATCCCAAGCGGTCACGCCGCCCCTCTACGATATGGTGTGTGGTTGGGGAGAGCAAATGAGTCTAGCAAAAGAATGGTACTTCACCCATTTGGTTCCTCACCCTTTTACGTTTAGGTTCCCAACACGAGACACAGTTTGAACTCCCTGACTAGAGCTCGTTGTCAGAGTTAGTTACGGATGGCGAGCATCAATCAAAGAGAGAGATACCTTGGTCCTCTAACCCTTATCCTTCTTCATGAGGAACAGGTCGCGCTGAGACTTTCCCTTCGAGGGTAAAGGTCCTGGGGTCGCGGTGCAAGCATCAGTATCCCCCTCTTGCTGAGGCCTGAGACTAGATAAAAAGGAAAACTCATTCCAATGTTATTTCCATGTCTTTTCCAATCCGCCTAGAGCCCCTTGATATGCAATGCAATTTCCAATTCTCAAGTAATTCCGCGATGCAAACTCCAGATCTTTAAGCTCAACCTTTCTCAAGCAATCATGCAAGGGGACCCTAGTAACTATTTCCAAATGACCCTTATCAGGGGTTATTTTGCCATTTTCGGTCGAACAACCTTATTAGGGTCATTCTTTTCCATTTCAGTCGAACGACCTTGTCAGGGCCGTTCTTATCCATTCCAGTCCAACGGCCTTGTTAGGGCCTTTCTTATCCATTCCAGTCGAACAGCCTTGTTAGGGTCGTTCTTTTCCATTTCAATGTTAGCGCCCGAGGCGGTGAGCCTCGAGGACACGGATCCCATCTTCGTCTTAGGGGTTAGAAGGTGGCCATCTTTTATAGTTTTCCACGTGCGATATCTTCCATCCCTTTTCAATGCAATTTATTGTTCCTCACGCATACATCCGATGTAGCGTCTAATGCTCGAGTTGAGGTTTGCAACCTCAAGCAGTACTAGCTCACCCGGTCGTTCAACCATAGCGAAGGATAGGGACATCCTTTTTATTTTCACTCTTTCTGACCTCTCAGGCTTCTTACTACTTTTGGCTCATTCATGACTCAGTTGGATTAGGCTCCTAGGGAAGAGGGGTTCTCACGCCTTTTTACCCATAGGTCCCCTAACCTCTCTTGTACTCGACCGACACTCAATGCTTTGCTTCGCTCGTCAATCCAAATTCATAGTCTCTTTTCAAAGGTGCAATCTTTGTCTCGTTCATTCTTTCCTTGATGCGGCACTACCCCAACGGGGGCCTTCCTGATGTGTCTACCATAGCCAGGTAAGTGCCTCGCCACTCTCCTCCTTGATCCCCTTCTCCCTCCTCCTCCTACCGGTAGAGCTCCACCATAGCCAAGGTGGAAGCCCCCGGCTTCTTCCTCCTAGCAGCGCTGTAGTACCCAGCGCCACTCCAGCCAGCGCTTCAGCAGCGTGTCGCCAAACTTGCACACTGAAGAATGAGGCTGGGCTCTCCGCCCGGCCTCTTGATATAGCGGCCTACTTGCCTCCTAGGCGGTGACTTCCAGGCCGCTCGGCCTCTCCAAGCAACCGGTACGTCCTCCGTTTCGGAGGGAAACATCATTGCAGACCCTGATACTACCCGTACAGGCTCTAGACTCAGACTGGTTGGACTGGTACCGGCCTAGACCTACCCTACCGCTATTGGACTCTAAAAATGCCAACTTTGTCTTTTTCTGCTCGGCCTCCAGTACCCCCTCACGCCAACTGCGGTAGGGTGCAGTATCGGCCTACCGGCCCACTTGAGTGTTTTTCCGCTACCCCAAGGGCCGCGGGACCGCTAGCTTCGCCACTTGAGTGTTTTTCCCTGCTACAACCCTCAATGCCACGACCACAAGTAAGTACCGGCCCTACGGGCCTGCCAAACAAGCAAGTACCCTTGCGGGTCACACACACACTCATACCGACAAGCACTCAGACAGGCACGCAGGTCACAAGCACGCACACACAGACAGACTTAGAATGCGGGAATCTCAGCAAGGCATCCATTCCATCGACAGAACTTCAGAAATCAGCAATGTTTTCAATCTGTGTTTTGACGGGTCATTACAAATCAATCAATCAATCAATCAATCGATGGTCCCCGTACACGTGTCAGATCAGGATTGTCCTGATTCACGTGTGGGGCTCCGATACCAACTGATACATGCCCGGTTGGGCAATGTATATGGTGAAACGGTTTTCACCTCTTTGCAGTAGCAGACGCAGATCCCAGGGTTCGATCCCTAGACCTTGCCCTACCTGTGTACAGTATTTGTGTGGACCCCGAGAGTTGAACCTGTGACCTGTGTGTTCGTAAATAGTTGGTGGGCTGTCATAGGTCCGCAGGTGGCAGAGGGGTTCGATCTGTAGCTCTGTAGGATAGAAGTCTTAGTGAGTTCCAGAAATCTTAGCTGTAGTCCTTCTAGAAAGTCAGCAAGTGGGCAAGTGGTGAGTCAAGTGGTGGACTAAACTGCAGTGCAACTGCAGTACGATCTCGGTAGGTTAGCAGTGAGTCCCCACTCAGTCAGCGGTAAGATCCAGTCAGTCCCAGTCCGGTCCAGCAAGTACCACAAGGGACTGTGAGCACCATGGGCCGATGGAAGAGGGCAGACCAACGAGTTTCAGAAGTATAAATCAAGAGGCAATGCCCAGCCATGCATTCATTCCTGCGTGAGCCATGCGGAAGCGCTGCCACAACGACTTGTGCAAGGAGGTCTGCAGTGAGCCCGGAGCTGAAGTGGGCAAGAGAGGAGGAGCGTAGCATAGCGATAGGGTAGTTGCGGCCATAGCCGCCATAACTAGAGTTAGTGTGTAGCGAGTGTGTGTGTATGTGCGAGTTCAGAGAGTCGCGTGTGGGATATCCAGGGTGATCCGGTGTATGTGAACAGTGAGTTGTTTGGGCGCTGAGTCGCCATAGCCAATTGAGAGTGAACTCGTATTTGGATGCCATATCTCTGAGTTTTGAGTGGGCGCATGTCGCCAGTTTGCTGCGCTACTGTTTTACATGCATGAAAAGTGTGAATGAAAGCAAGTCTGATTGCATTGGTATCAGAGCTGGTACCCTCTATTCCATGCGCGCCGTCGTGTGCAGGGCCTGATGCGCCATAGCTGAGGTGGCCGCCGAGAGTCATACTCCGCCATAGCGAACCCGAAGGTTGGAGAAGCCGCCGCGCACCTGCAGAGAAGACCACGACGAAGAAGAAGACTGAGAAAAGGGGAGAGAGAGAGAGAGAGAGAGAGAGAGAGAGAGAGAGAGAGAGAGAGAGAGAGAGAGAGAGAGAGAGAGAGAGAGAGAGAGAGAG